GCAAATTTGGGAAATTGTGCTTTCACAGCTTATTGCCTTTCCTAAGATCCCAAAATGTCTCTGGTAATGAATTATAAGCTAATACACTATCTATTCAATTAAGGCAAATCAAGTTTGAATTTCTGTTTACCTGAAACTCCAAATATGTTAAATAAAAATAAATAAATATGGCTGGAAATACAAACCATGTCTCAATAATGATCTTAAATGTTAATGGCTTAAACTCACCAATTAAAAGACATAGGCTAGCAGACTGGATTAAAAAACAAAGATCCAACAATATTCTCCCTATAGGAGACTCATCTCATAAGAAAAGACATACACAGACTGAAGGTGAAAGGATAGAAAAAATCGTAATATGCACATCGACTGTGGAAGCAAGCAGGGGTTTCCATCCTTGTATCAAATAAAGTAGACTTCAAACAAAAGTTAATCAAAAGGAATAAATATGGACATTACATACTGCTCAAGGGAACCATATACCAATAAGACATAACAATCATAAATGTATATTATATGCCCCAAACAACGGTGCAGCTATGTTTATCAAACAAATTCTTCTCAAGTTCAAGAGTCAAATTGACCACAGCACAATAATCTTGGGTGATTTTAACAGACCTCTCTCACCACTGGACAGATCTTCAAAGCAAAATTTGAATAAAAAAAACTATAGAACTCAATAATAAAATCAATAACTTAGACTTAACTGACATATATAGAATATTTCAACCTGCATCAAGCGGATACACCTTTTTTCTCAGCAGCACATAGATCCTTCTCTAAAATAGACCATATAATATTCCACAAAGCAACTCTTAGCAAATACAAAAAAGTAGAGATACTACCATGCATTTTATCAGATTATAATGGAGTGAAATTGGAAATGAACTACAAAATAAAAAATAAAATTTTCACCATCACTTGGAGACTAAACAATATGCTACTGAAAGAACAATGGGTTACAGAAGACATCAAGAAAGAGATTAAAAAATTCTTGGGGATAAATGAGAACATAGACAAAACATATTGAAATCACTTGGACACTATGAAATCAATACTAAGAGGAAAATTAATTGCATGAAGTTAATTCCTTAAAAAAAGTCAACAAATAAATGACCTCACACTACATCTAAATCCCTAGAAAAAGAAAAACAAATCAGCAGCAAAAGCAGTAGAAGGCAAGAAATAATTAAAATTAGAGCTGAAATCAATGAAATCAAAACAAAAGAAGCAATTGAAAAATTGACAAAAAGTTAGTTTTTTTTAAAAAATAAATAAAATTGAAATACCCTTAGCTATGCTAATAAAGAGAAGAAGAGAGAAAACTCAAATTACTAGCACACATGATGAAAAAGATAATATCACAACAGACACTACAGAAATACAGAGGATAATTAGAAATTATTTTGAAAACTTATACTCCAATAAAATAGAAGACATTGAAGGCATGGGCAAATTTCTTCACTCATACAATTTACCCAGATTTAATCAGGAAGACATACACAACTTAAACAGACCAATATAAAGTGATAAAAAAGAACACACCATCAGAAGCTTACCAGTCAAGAAAAGCCTAGGATCAGATGTATACTCAGCCAAGTTCTACAAGACCTTTAAAGAAGGTCTGCAATTTATTTCAGGAAATAGAAAATGAGGCAGCAACTTCCAAACTCATTCTATGAAGCCAATATGACCCTGATCCCAAAACCAGGCAAAGACACATTAAAGAAAGAAAATTTCAGACCAATATCTCTAATGAACATAGATGCAAAAATTCTCAATAAAATTCTGGCAAATCAAATACAAAAACATATCAAAAAGATTGTGCACCATGATCAAATGGGATGCAGCCCATGGATGAAAGGTTGATTAAACATACAAAAATCAATAAATGTAATTCATCACATCAATAGACTCAAAGAAAAGAATCATATGATCACCTCAATAGATGCAGAAAAAGCATCTGACAAAATACAGCACCTTTACATGTTCAAAACACTAGGAAAACTAGGAATAACAGGAACATATCTCGACATCGTAAAAGCTATCTATGCTAAGCCTCAGGCCAACATCATTTTAAATAGAGAAAAATTAAAGGCATTTTCTCTAAAAACTGGAACAAGACAGGGATGCCCTCTTTCAATACTTCTATTCAACATAGTTCTTGAAACACTGGCCAGAGCAATTACACAGATGAAAGAATTAAAAGGATACACACAGGAAAGGAACAACTCAAACTGGCACTATTTGTTCATGATATAATTCTATACCTAGAAGATCCAAAAATCTCCACCAGAAAACTTCTAGAAATACTAAATGAATTCAGCTAAGTAGCAGAATTCAAAATCAACACTCATAAATCAAAGGGATTTCTGTATAACAGTGAAAAATCCTCTGAGAAAGAAATGAGGAAACTACCCCATTTACAATAACTTCAAAAAATAAGATACTTCGGAATCAACTTAACAACAAAAGAGGTGAAAGATCTATACAATGAAAACTACAGATCCCTAAAGAAAGAAATAAAAGAAGACCTTAGAAGATGGAAAGACCCTACCTTGCTCTTGTATAGGAAGAATTAATATTATCAAATGACTATACTACCAAAAGCACTATACAGATTCAATGCAATTCCAATCAAAATCCCAATGGCATTCCTCATAGAAACAGAAAAAGTAATCGTGAAATTAATCTGGAAAAATAAGGGACCCCAAAAAAGCTAAAGCAATCCTTAGCAAGAAAAGTGAAACATCACTATACCAGACATTAAACTATACTACAGAGCACTAGTAACAAAAACAGCATGGTATCAGCACCAAAACAGACTGGTAGACCAATGATACAGAATAGAGGACACAGAGACTAACCCCCCAAATTACAATTATCTTATATTAGACAAAGGTGCCAAAAACATGCACTGGAGAAAAGACAGCAGCAAATGGTGCTAGGAAAACTGGAAATCCATATGCAACAAAATGAAATTAAATCCCTATCTCTCACCTTACACAAAAGTCAACTCAAAGTGGATGAAGGACCTAGAAATTAAACCAGAGACTCAGTGTCTAATAGAAGAAAAAGAAGGCCCTAATCTTCATCATGTGGTATTAAGCCCCAACTTCCTTAATAAGACACCTATAGCACAAGAATTAAAATAAAGAATCAATAAATCGGATGGAATCAAACTAAAAAGTTTCTTCTCAGCAAAAGAAACAATCTGTGAGGTGATCAGAGAACCTACATACTGAGATCAAATTTTTATCCCCTCACACATAAGATAGAGCACTAATCTCTGGGGTATATAAAGAACTCAAAAAGCCTCAAAAAAAAAAAAAATCAACAAATGGGCCAAGGACCTGAAAAGACACTTCTAGAAGAGGATATAGAATCACTCAACAAATATTTGAAAAATTCTCATCATCTCTAGCAATTAGAGAAATGTAAATCAAAACTTGTCTAAGATATCATCTCACTCCATTCCGAATGGTAGCTATTATGAAGAAAAACAACAACAGTGTTGGCGAGGATGTAGGGGAAAAAGGCACACTCATACATTACTGGAGGGACTGCAAATTGGTGCAGCCAATATGGAAAGCAGTATGGAGATTCCTTGGAAATCTGGAAATGGAACCACCATTTGACCCAGCTATTCCTCTTCTCGGTCTATACTCAAAGGACTTAAAAACAGCATCCTACAGGGACACAGGCACAACAGTGTTTATAGCAGCACAATTCACAATATCTGAACTACAGAGCCAATCTAGATGCTCTTCAGTGGATGAGTGGATAAAAGAAATGTGTCATGTATACACAATGGAATTTTACTCATCAATAAAAGAGAATAAAATCATGGCGATTGCAGGTAAATGGATGGCACTGGAGAACATAATGCTAAGTGAAGTTAGCAAACCCCAAAACAACAAATGCTGAATGTTCTCTCTGATATAAGGAGGCTAACTGATAGAGGGGTTGGGATGGGAAACATGGGAGGAATAGATGAAATCTAGATAGGGCAGAGGGGTGGGAGGGAAAAGAAGGCTCAGGGGACTAGCAAGGATGTTGGAATATGATAGACATCATTATACAAAGTAAATATATGAAGACACCAATTGGTGTCAACATACTTTATATACAACCAGAGATATGAAAAAATGTGCTGTATATGTGTCATAAGAATTATAATGCATTCTTCTGTCATTTATTTTTTTAAATCAATTTAAAAAAAACACTGGCAAAAAATAAAAAGAAAATGCAAAAAATAAAAAAGAAAGAAAGAAAGAAAGAAATGAGAGAGTATATGCTAAAAACCAAAACCAAAACTAACAATAAAACCCCAGAATGCTTCCAGTAATCATATTGTGGAAGTATTGCAATTTTATTCTTTGACTGATATATATTATGGGACAAAAGAAATGAGCATTTATGAGACATGAAAATTAAATTATTCCCTCTATGCTTCCAAACCAGAGTTATCAATATGGAAGAAACAGTATTCAAAAAATAAAGATGATAAATAGAAGCTCTACTCTCAATTAAGTATCAATATACACATGGAAGTATAAAGTTCATAAGCATGTATGTATATACACACATAAAATATATACACACATATAAAGACATGATATATATGTAAAATATATACATATATACACACATATAAAGATATAATAAGTAAATACTTATATATACACATATTAAAGTATATCCTCAAATCCTCCCATCCCCCTCCAGTCCCTCCCAGGTCCAGTGGAACTGAGGGGTCCCTGAGTGCTGACAGAAGGATGCAGTAGTCACTGTGACCCAGCATGCCTGGTGCAGTCAGCCAATGACTGCACCTCCTAGCAACCCTGGTGAGTGGTGCTGGTAGGTGGGTGAGAGGCCATAGGTCAGATTTGCCACTCCCCCAGTAGACCCATGCTCCACTTCCAGTGGCTGAGGAAGTGAGTGTTGCATTTGTTAAAAATAATGTCTCTGGGCATTGGTCCCTAGATCCTCCCTCATACCATGGCAGGTGAACTGGTGCTTGTCTTCTATCTTCCTCTGATGCGGCTGGGACAGTAAGCTCCTTGCTTGCCTGCACAGGGTGAGTCAGAGTGCTGTCCGTCCACCTGTCTGTGACATGGGCAGATTTCTGGAGAGTGACCAGGATGCAATATTTCTCTTTTGCTAACTACAATAAAATTAAATATGTGTATTTACATAATCTAATACAGAAGAGTATTTTAAAGCCACAATTAAATTTCAAACTTTTTAATAAAATATATTTCTTCTGAAACACATCAAATTTTATCTCTTGTTATTTTTATCCCATAGATTTCTTGTGTGCTAGATAAGCATTATGAACTTTCGTAGATTATTTTCACTTATATCTCTTTTGCTAGTATATGCAAACAATTAATGCTAAGGTTTTATTTACATTGAAGCTAATTATATCTGATCAATATATTAGTTTTCTTTAGGGATGCACTCAAGTAATTTTAAGTGATACAGAAAATTAAACTCACACTGCCCTTGACATAACACTTTCTCTTCTGTTATTTAGTAAAAATGGATCACAAAACTGTTAAATTTGTGCTGTTCTGCTGACAGTGAAACTTACTGAATGCCTTTATGCTATCAAGTGCAAGTTAAAAGAGTAGAGCTAAAGAAATTTATTTGTTGTGTGTGAAATGTGAGCTTTTTAGAAAGTGAATTGGCTAAAAGCAATTTAATGAGGTACCTTCTAAATTGAGGTGATATGAGAAAAGAGAAGGCTTTGTAGTGTCGCAGTCTGGCTGAGCAAAATAACCAGGAGGTGATAAGCAACTTGAAGGTTGAAGCAGGAACTGCTTTATTGAGGAGGAACTCAGTGGGAACTGAGCAGGAACTCAAGGCAGCGGGCACCCAAGGTAGCAGGCACCACTTTATTGCGGAACAGCAGAGGTATATATACCTAACTGATTACACACAGCTTGACTCAATTAGCATTATCTAGATACAGCAGTCAGCCAATAAGGAGTCCTTACCATCTTAATGGCTCCGTGGCCTTGCCTCACAAACCACTCCTTCTGGCAAACTGCCAGGTGCCATCTTGACTTGATTTGTGGTCCGAAACATTGTAGAAGTTGTGAGAAAGCAATTTAGATGTTCCTGATGATGTCTAAGAGGCCTGGGTGCCTAGAAGCAATCTAAATCTGAAACTACTTCAAGGATATTGAATAGGAACACTGTGTCGTGTTCCATTTTTGTATTTATCTTTGCTTGTTGATCTGCAATCACTCTTAAGACATTAATTATTTATTGTACTATTCCATTTAAAGAATCAAGGAATGAAGACATAAATCTCCAAAGACCAAAGTGATGTCCCTGAACAGGAAGTTTCTCTATGTGTCCTGTATCCATGACTACTTTTTAATTTTTCATTATATTTCAACTATAATTGGAAAAACTCTCATATTACTTTCAGGTCTATATTCATGTAAGTTTTGACTTATCTCTTGAATGTCCCAACTTCAAGAGATAAGTCAAAACTAATAAAAATAATTTATTATTTACCAAAGACATATTTAGCATAACCTTCTATGATAAATATGTCTTTGGTAAATAATAAATTAAAACACCTCATCATATATAAAGCCATAAATAACTTTATGCATTATTTATTATTTACTACCAGTAAGACATCTGTTAACAGTTTACACACATTATCTAATTTAACTCCTATGGTTCCTAATAGGCTCCATTTAAAGATGCTCAAAGATCACTGACTTTTCCAAGTTTTGAAATATTAATGGATAAAATGGGCATTTTAACTCAGTTCTTCTCAGGCTGAAAATCATATGAATTATTGTTTAAAATATTAAATACAAAATCATAACTGTGTGAAAAATTTAATGAGCCAATTTTTAATTTTACATTGAACTGGCTTTATGTAGAAAAGGCTAATGTAAGAAAAGGTAATGAGAGATTTGACTGCAAAATTATTTTAAATGACTTCACAAAAAAGAATCCATAAATTGCAGATAAAATTAGTATTATATCTATCAAATAGTAAAAATTTACATGAAAAAGTGATATTATCAATTGAAAAAAAAATAATGTTTGTACAATTAGGAAGAGACAGGGCACATACCTTACTAAATAAGAAATACAGAGGCAGCATTAACATATAAGAATGCAGAAATACATACTAACTAATAGGTAAAAATTTTTAGGTGAAAAAATCAATCATTTTAGAATTTAGAGATGGGCAATATTTATGAAAAAAATCTAAAAATATTTGTAAAAGAAAAAATTGCTTTGAAAGAAAGAAAAGAGAATTCCAGGTTTTAAATATGTTGGAAGGAAGAGAGAAAAAATAGAAAAAGGAAGTGTAATCAATATGAAAATCACTCAAATCAGTCAATGTAATGAAAAACAAAAACAAAAAACAAAACAAAAAAAACACCAATGCACAACAGAATGATCAAATTTACTAGATTTAAAGTCCACTACTTATGGTGAAAAAAGATAAATTTATTACCACCATATAATACAAATGTAATATAATGTTAGCTTAGACTAGAAAAAAATGAAGAATAGTGTTACTTTATTAGATAATTAACAACTTATGCAAATGCCTGGAATTTTATTGAGTTTAGAGATGAGAATTAAACCACGTGTCACAAAGATTTATAGATTATCTCTTTGTGATAACATTTTTTTTTTTAATTTTTATTCCTACTAAGAATTGTTTCAGAGTAATGTCTTTATTGTTTCCACAATTTAATAACTGAAAACAACTGTGTTGTAAAAAATGGAGGACAATGGGAAAAGTTTAAGCTGCATTTGGACTAATCAAAGAGCAAATTCATGTATTTTCTGATTTTAAAAAATACTTAAAAATATGAACACCTTTTAGCTCATGAATATTCTTCCAAAATATAACATGTTTGAAAACCAAACACTATTTATATATGAAGATTACTGTGACATTGTTTATAGCATCTGAAAATTGGGTGTAGCTTCTACAAGTCTATACAAAGGAATGGATTTAATTTTAGCATATCCATTATGTGAAAAAAAATATTAACTTAAAATTATGATGCCAATTTATTTACTCTAATAATAGGTATAAAAAGGTAATAAAGTTGAATAAAAACATGTTTGGTCCTGGTTTTGAAAAATGCTAATCCAGTAGTAATGATTCATAAGATTATACAGAAAATATTAGCCATAATCAAGAGTATAATTCTTTTTTTATTTTACATTGAACTTTATGAACATAAAATATTGACATCCTATTCCTAAAATATTGTTAGATGTTTGATAATAGGTAGAAATAACACAAAATTAGAGAATGAGTACTAATGCTAAAATTTAAGCTACAACTTTATTACCACCTATGTGAATAATGAAACACATTATTTTTAAGTTTTCATCATTGTTTGGTCATTTGAAAATGTAAGGCTGTATATGAATATACTTTGAACATGAAATAATACTTATAAAATTACTTTTTTTTAGAATAAAGTCTTAGAACCCCAAATTTTCTTATGCTTCATAAAAGCACCATTGTGGTTCTTACCAGGCCAAGAATAATAAGACTAATAATAATAAAAAAAAATTTCAAGGCTGAGATTTCCCTTTCATGCTCAGAAGATAAACAGACAATTGGCACCAAATTATAGATTTGGGACAAACAAAATCTTGATCTGTCAGTACAAGTAGAGAAAGTGAAACTCAAGTGCTGCAAAAGGATTTGATAATACAACAGTTTGTTTGTTTGTTTGTTTTGGTACCAGTGATTGAACTCAGAGTCTCTGGACTACTGAGCCACATCCCAGCCCTATTTTGTATTTTTTAGATATTTTTTAGTTGTTGATGGACCTTTATTTATTATTTATTTATATGTGGTGCTGAGAATAAAACACAGTGCCTCACACATGCTAGGCAAACACTATATTACGAGCCACAACCCCAGCCCTCATATTTTGTATTCTTATTTAGAGATGGTCTCACTGAGTTGCTTAGCACCTTGCTGTTGCTGAGGCTGGCTTTGAACTCCTGAGCCTCTAAGCCACTGGGATTACAGTTGTGTACCACCATGCCTGGCTGATAGAATAACAATTTATTAAAGCAGAGGCATTTTCTGTGAATTTATTGGACAGCTTCTGCTAACACCCTTTCAAGTGCAATTATGTGCTTTCTTTGATTCTAACTGATGATTGAGTCCTTTCTCTTCTTCTGTCCAGATAACTTTAAGCTCCTTATCTTTATTGAATCTAACTTAGAAAACAAATGTGTTGTGTTCTAACATCAAATATGAAACACATTTTTGTAATAGAACATTGTTGTCTTTGATTTTCCATATTATAACCCTAAAATCACAGACACTTCAAAAAGACATTACATTGTGTTTTATGAATATTCCAAATAGCAAGTAGCTAAGATAAATACTTTCTGAACTCTGAATGTTAAAATCTGGTACTTCTTCATATTCTCATATTCTAAAATAGCTACTGGCACTTCTTTATATTCTTATATTCTAAAATAGCTAATATGGTGGGCATAGGTGTTCAAACTGGAGAGATTGAGTACAGCTTGACACTAGGGGGTTGAAAATTGTTCGCCTTCATTTCTTCTACTTTAATTATCATTTTTTAGTTGAGTTCCCCTTTATTTTATGTTGGAATTTCTATAATAATATCCTGACTCTCGTGTGTGTGTGTGTGTGTGTGTGTGTGTATTTTTCAATTTACTTTTCAAGCTCATATGTCTGATATCAGCAACTGCCTATATTAAAGCACCATAACTGTTCCCAGTAGAAAGTAAAAGCAGACACACTTAAAATTTTGCATCTACAATTTACCCCTTTCCCTCAAATATTACTTTCAATACATCATCATTTTATTGTTTACAAGTTAAACCAATTCTCCTTCTTCTCCTATCCTCTTTGTTATTACCACAAATCAGTGTTCTGGGGTGGGAGACTCCCCTGGGAACATCTGAAAATGCCTAAAGATATTGAGATGTTGTTATACTGGAGGTGAGGGAAATATTACTGACATCTAGTGAGTAGAAGCCATGGTTACTGATAAACTACTACATTTTACAGCAAAACCCCCAACAGCACAGAATTCTGCAATATAGAACTGTCATAATGCTGAGGTCCAGAAACTGCCTGAGATCAAGACACCATTAACTGGTAAGTAGATACCTGAAACAACAGGATGAATGAATGATCTCTGTCTGTTGCTCTGGCTCCCATCCAAGACAAATTTCCACACTGCAGCAGAGCCAGTCTGTCCAAAATGTAAAAATAGCCTGTATTTTATACTTAAAACTTTAATTACTTAGTACAAGGGATGGAAGGCATTATAAAATTCTTCATAAATTATTTCCTGATTAACTATTTAGTTTCTTCTCACCTCCCTTTTTCTTTCTATACTAAACTTCAGTGCTACTGAAGAGTTTTCTATTATTTAAACGTTCATCTTCTCTCTCTGTTGTCTGATTTCTGGCATTTTGATATGTTGAAGCTTCTGCCTGATTGCTATGACACTCAATTGATAGGGCTTGTTCCCTTTGGACATAGGTCTCCCTCTGAGGAAAAAATAGAATAAAATCAGGAAAATGCAAATAACCACTGCATCACTGGAATTTCTGAGAGCGCTTATTAGACTATTTTGGGAAATTAATTTAGTACATTTTGTAATTATGTTGCATTCTAAAAAACAAATACCCACCTCAGTTTGATATTTTTGCCATTTTAACACACAATAAGATACTTCTGAGACAAAGTTTTTCTCCTGATGTGTTTTGGCACTGGAACCTGGAGTCATCCACCAGGACAGAGTGGCTAAGGAAGATGGACTTCCCTTCATTTTCAGATGCCCCAGTTGTGTGAGCATTAAATATTATTCCATCTACTTAAAAGCCAGGAAGTCAAAAAATAATTGAGGAAAAAAATAGCAGGTTTTGAGACAGTGAGGAATTCTTCCTGCTTATACTTTAAGAAAGGCAAATCAATATGAACAAAATTTCTAGTGATGTTAATTGGCTTAGGTAAGGTAGGGGATAGCCATCTGAACAAGTCACTGATGTATCAATGTTACCTTTTGGAATTTTAAGCAATTTTATGACAAAGGAAACTGATTTTGCCAATCTGAGAGATAGTGGAGATTTTTTTCTCTTTGAATAAAATCATCCTACTGACTTACACAGATAGATCTCAAATTTTTGTATCATGCTGCTTGATTTTGCAAATGCCACTGTCCAATTTCTCTTAGATTATTTTTAAGTTCTCTTGTGTAATATGTAGGAGTAGTTTCTTGGCCTGATGGGCACAATTTGCCCTTTGTGACACAGTTAAAATAAGGATACTGGTAACAGACATCAAAAAGTTCCATCCCAATTTTTAAAGTATTAGTATTTACATGTTTAGTTTTCAAAAAATAAAAATCAAACAAATGTTATTCCTCATAAAAGACTTGTGACACAGAATATTTAATTTTTATAATTTTGCTGTTTCCTTCACTTATCCACAATAACATATTCTTTTTTAGAGTGGAAGAGATAAAAGCTTTTGTGTTGATGACATATTAAAGAGAGAAAGTGAAATGAGCTTAAGTTTGATTTAAAAAATGTGTTTTTCAGAATATGTGTAAGTTCAATTTTTATAAGCATTAAAACCAAGCATTTCTAAGTGATCAGACTTAACTCTTCTTTTAAATTTATTCCATAGGTAATAGCAGGCAATTAAAAACTATGCCCCACATCCATAGAAGCATTATTTTCCACTTGAGAAACTCAAGTACCTTTGTTTCATTATCTATTAGAGGATAGAGAAATAGTAGGTCTGACAAAAATATATGTATGATATGTATAATATATAATATATATGTATAATAGACGGGTGTATTTAAGTATGTAAATTGTATCTCTGCCTGTCTTAAAAATTGCTAATTAAAAAAGTGAATGCCATTCTAATTTTATTCTGTTTAAGAGGTAATTTATTCAAGAATATTCAGAAATCATCTATCTAATGGAGGGTTAGATTTTATTAGCCTAATCCAAAATTAGCATTTATTACTGGGGAAAGTAAGTGGTGTGGGGCTTTCATTTGGGCTTTAAAGTTTGTGTCCACTTGCACTGTAGAATTATTGTAAGAAAAGTTCCTCATCACAAAATATAGAATTAATATTATAGCTCTGAATATTAGATATAATACATAGCAACTAGAAACTTTAGATATATTTTATATTTAGATTATTCTTTCATTCTTCCTTTTATATACTAGATGTTGATGATATAAAGAATGATACAATATGATACCAATCTTGAAAGAATTTACATCATAATGGAGAAGATATCTATTTGTAAAAACTGAGACAAAGCACACTTAATGTTGTGATTAAAGCTTTTGAAAAGGTATATGGAAATTAGATTAATAAGCTCTCACTTCTATTAGGATGGGAAAGTAATGATGGTACCACAGAAATTCTTTGGGGCATGAAAAAAAGAGAATTCAAGGTGGAGCTTAAAGAGCTAGAGGCAATGGAGGCTATGTTGGCAAATGTTGAGCATAAATAGAGACAGAGAAGCAATAAAAATCAGAAGAGGTAGGAATTGTGTGAAGCAAAGGAATTATGTGTACAAGTATTAGTGGGCCTGAGTTTCTTCCTACAGGGAATTTGGAAGATTATTTGTGATCATGCTTGGAAGAGCTGGGGGACGTATGAATAAATATTGAGTTTATTGCATAAATAATAGAATACTTTCTTACTTTTGTGGGTATGGCATGGTTAAATGTTTATTTTAGAAACTAATGCTTGTGAGAGGGGAGAATGGCACACTTGAGAGAGGCTCATGACAGGAAGAGCAACTAGGGGCAGGTCACTGTTCTCTAGGCTAGAGATAAGAGAAAGGAGGGTTGTAAGCACTGGCAATAATGACAAAATGAGAACTTACTTAGAAAGCAGAATAAACAAAACATTATAGTAAGGATTTGATTTTTATAAGGTGTGTTGTAGCTAAAATCACAAAATTTAGAGATTTAAAATTGCCTATAGTTATGTCTCAATTATGGTAAAAACTGCATTAAAATAATTGAATACTTGGTGTGTCGCAGCAACTCATGTGGTGGGAACAGCAGCAGTGGTCAGGCAGCACAGTTTCAGAAGGTTCCTGAGAGCCACTGCCTGCAGCACCTGCGTGAGCCTTGTGCTCTCAGCCAGGAAGCTCCAGAGGAAGGTCAGCTCTGAAGAATGTGAGGCTAAGAAGAAGCCCAATAGGAGGTCTTCCAGGCTGTCTGCTTGGACTGCTGCTGCCAAGGCAGATGCCAAAACCAGAAAGATTGTCTTTCATAGTCAGCAAATGGAAATAGTGATGTGAATGAATAACTGTGATATGAGGTAATAAATGCAGTTTTGCAAATATTTCCAAAATAGAACTGACGGGAAGTAGCAAGTCATCAAGTTGACTGTATAAAGTGTATGTTCACAAAAGGGAGATTTTATAAGGATCACAAAAGAGGAGTTGGTTATTTCCAGATGGAGCAGAGTGAGACTGAGAGGTCTGTGAAAAGAAAATAGGATTTCAGGAGGTGCATCATCATCTGCCTAACTAGAAATATATTAGACAGTTAAGGGAACTGAAAGACTTTAATTTGATTGAAATGCACAATATATTTCTATAACAAAGGGAAAACAGGCAAAAGAGAAATTAGAGAGTACATTGCTTGGTCCTTTAATAAACTCAGATTTTATTCTTAAGCAAAGACAGGAATAACATGGGGACATTTACATTTTAGAATAATCTCATTGGCTTTATTGCTGACGATGGGATAACATGATGTAAGACCCATGAATGAGGGGCTCAGAGTAGAGCTTACTATATTTTAGCAGAAAGATGATACAAATTTTAATGTCATTATCAGTTACCAGATGATGTTATTTAGAGTCAACAAAATATGATTACATTGAGAAGTAAATTGAAAAGTAAATTGAGAAGTAAAGTTGATATATGTTTGATTTGATATATTTTGACCTGGAATTTATATATTAAAAAAAACCTTTTATAATTTACACTAAGTGTTTGCTGTGCCTCTATAGATGAAATATTGGAAGGATTTACTGAGTCTGACAATTTCAGTGTTTTAGCCTCCTGATTCATTAATATAAAATGTTACATTTTAAGTAAGGGAAGTATTTTTTGTTTGAATTACTGCTGTCTAAAAAAGGTATTTAAATGATTATATCAAACAAGAATTTATTATGTATGTTTTTATTAATTTTCCTTTTAATGTGTTATGGAAAACAAAAGTTTAATTATGGAAAATTACATTTATTTTCCATAATTTTGGAATAATTTTAGCTAAGTTATCTAAGGCAAGAAATAAAAAGTAAAGTTTTAGAAAGCCTGATATGTGGTAGGAGGTGGTGCAGAATTTGTGGTTAGAGACTGATCCTTCCCATCTCTTCCAGATGCTTCCCTTACTCTTACCATTTCTCCAAATTTGATATTGATACTCTCTTCTCACCTTTTTCTGAAGAGGCAATTACATTATTTTCTATGATTGCAGAAAGTGATGATTACATTATATTAGATTTTGACACTAAATTACACACTGGTGAGAAAGCCATGCTCTTCATTTGGTTTTTATTTTCATCACTAAGACAATACAAAGGTGACTTGCATTCTGTAGTCACAAGTTACTTCAATATTCCTAGTAAAACATAACAGAAACATATATATGTTTTATTTCATTAAGATCTACTGAAGGGAGACAATTCTTTGTTGTATACTAGAGCGTTTTTCCCCAAGTTTCGAAAAGCAAAATGTCTCCAGGTATTGTCAACTATCTCTTGACTATGAATATGGGGGAAGAGGCAAAAACTTCTGTGATCCAGATGCAAAAGAAACATTAAATGTTTAAAGATATTTCATCTTTTAAATTCTATTGAAATGCATAAACACAATTCTTTTTTAAATTTAATTTTTAGTCGTAGTTGGACACATACCTTTATTTTATTTATTTATTTTTATGTGGTGCTTAGGATTGAACGCAGGGTGTTGCACATGCTATGCAAACACTGTATCACTGAGCCACATGCCCAGCACCCCCAAATACAATTATTGTCTAAATAAATATGGAAAGAAAAAATCATCACTTTATATGCCTGTAGATCTAATAGATCCACAAGTGGTTTTGTTATATCATATTTGTAGAAAAGAGTAGAATGGAAGATAAAGTTTTCCCATTCAGTTTTCTCAATCTGAATGCTCTTGTACTCTAAGCAAGACATGTTGATTTTCCTCATAATTAAACATAATTTACATTCTGTTACAGCAACACATTCAAGGAGAGAATAAGGTACCAATCATTTACTTGCAAAAAGAAAATTAACAATTTGCTGCATGTTGCTTTGAAATAACCATTTAGGTTTTTAAAAAGTACCCAAGGTTTTCACCCACTTTCTCCTTACATTATCTTCATTGAACATAATAGACAGCTAATAAAAATGTGACCCTATGTGGGGGAGATATTATTTTCAATCAATCACTCCTTTGGATAAATGTTTTGAGTCATTCAATGGTAACTGAGTCCTTCTGCTCCATTGGCATATATGGGAGACACAATTAGGATTACTGTAATTATCAACTACTTCCTATAAGCAAATAGAAATGATAGCTAAATAATCTTTAAGTGAATAATATTAAATATCACAATTATGAAAAAAGTAAAGAATATGAATTATTTAATATTTTTTTTGAATTCCAACTCACTGTTTTGCCTGGAATTACACTACATTATATTGAAGTAATTGGTAAACTATACTATTATGAATGTAAATTTTACAAATATTGAAATTACTGCATTCTGAATAAAATCACAAACTCTTAAAATGGGATATTTAAAGAGGGGAAAACATTAACTAATACAACTATCTAAAAAAATTTATTATACTTTACTGGGCAGTCATAGTCATAGTATTCTTATAAATACTTTTTAAAACATTTTTGTAGTTGTAGAAGGACAGAATGCATATATTTTATTTTATTTTTTTATGTGGTGCTCAGGATCAAACCCAGTGCCTCACACATGCTAGGCAAGCATTCTGCCACTAAGCTACAGCCCCAGCCCCAAGGCATTCTTTTTAAGTATTATTAAGTTTACACATTTTTTTTTGGAAGGGATTGAGTATTTGTTCATCTGTGATCAACACTTTTAGGTTAATTTTCTGTTTTAACTCAAGTTTTAAAAAACCTGCTTTTATTCACTTTAAAAACAAACTGCTTGATATGTACTCAATAATTAGATGATGAATTAAGATGTAATTATTCCTATAAGTAGGATGTGGATGCACTGGAGCAAACACCAGCAAGAGTGAGGGCATGCTGCTAAACTGTCTCACCTACTTTTATCATGCTGTATCCACTTTAGGGATCCAATTTATGTGATTAACAAAAC